GCAGTTACTTGGTGATTGTCATCAGGAAACTGATACGGACGAAAACAAAAATCTCTTCAGTTACTCTCCTTTGGATCACATTCTCAAGCTGGTCCATGATGTATCTCTGATAAATGTGTACGTCACGTTCAAAGTTTGTTCTCTGAACTGTGCCCTGAATGGGAGTGTCCACCAACACCTCTAGGACGGTGTCTGTGGCAGGTGTGCTGCTAGCTGGAATGTTTTATTATAATCCTGCCTTTCATTTTCACTTGGAATCACGGGTGAGATGCAAATTACTAAAGAGATCAATGACTTTTTGCTAAGACATTGAATGCGCAGAGTACTGGAGCTTCTTCTGGCAACACAATCAAATTTGAGGAGAAACATCATTTCTCAGTGGAGCAAAGCTGATGGGCAACATGATCTCAATACCTTCCACATCTAAAAGTGTGAGTGGCCCACCAAAAATACACGGAAACTTGCTGCTCATGCCCTTAGGAATTTTCCTAGTTCTTCAGAATTAGAATTTAGCCCTAACTGAACAAACATGTAAGAAATGATGCTTAAGGGTACATCACAGGAATTCTGTCAGTGCTGCGTTGGAAAAACAAGCTGAGTGAGGAGGAAAACAGAGTTACAGTTCATTAGTATCACTTTCCACTTGTGCAACTGTCTTTTTGACATGAATAAGGATGGAGTACACCTAAATGCATGAACATACATTACAGAAGGGGCCAGGAGTGGAAGCAAGAGAGGAGCAGATGCCATCCTATAAGAGAAAGGATGGAGAGAAGAGAGCAGGTAGAGAGGTTAGTCATACAGCACAAGTAGCAGCCACATACTTGTTTGTGGCTTTTTGGCTGTTGAGATTGTAACTCTTCGGTAGTTTGTACTCTGCTTTATAATTTTAGTCGTTTTGCCTGTTTCTGGTTAGTTAACAGTTTCAGCTTGCTTACTTGCACAGACTTGAAGCCTGAGTATACTTCAGGAGGAACAGGTAAGAGGAATAAGTTCCTAACACTTATTAGCAAGGCTTAGTTACTACCACACTCAGCCACAGCATTTGTTTTTTGGTGTTAAATGTACTCATCGTATAGAGCCCTCAGATGCTATTCCAAGATGTAGTTTGTTACTTTGCAAAAATCAGGTGAATCTTGCCTCTAAAAACATTGTAAATATAACTGAAAACTCCACTAATGAGTTGTCACTCTTTTTTAAAAGTTTGAGAGGACAGCTTTTGTTACAGCCTTTTTGTTGCACAAGTCTGCCTGTTAGAATTTACCTACTGCTGATCTTGAGGTTAAGTTTACTCATCGAAAATACGATAGAGTAATAGCTATTGGTTATTTGCATCCAGTAATACATGTCTTTTAACTAACTTTGAATAGAAATCCTAAATTAAATCAAAGCGTAGATTTCTACTGCTATCACTCAACTCCTGTAAAGTGCTGAAAAAGTGTCAGCATCTTAAAGAAGACAGCAGAGGAAGAAAGTGTGTGGTTCTGGTCACCTTGCCTTAAAGGGGATGTATTATGACTGCAGAAGAATCAGAGAAGGACAGCAGGGTTGATCAGAGGTACCACGTCTGCTTGAGGAATTGCTGAGCAGGTCCAAATGGAAGAGAGGTCACTGACACGGAGAGTATGATGGAGAGTCGCAAAATCACCAAGTGGCAGAGAGAGAGAGGTTTGAATACTCCCTGCCTCTTCTAGCCCAGGAAATATGGGCTACGTCTTTAGGAGCTGGGTTCAAGACAAAAGGATGAGGTTTTCGATGAAACAGGCAGTAAGGCTATTCCCGTGCTCCAGGAGAGCTGTATAGGCAAGAAGTTTACATTGCTGTAAGAGTTTGGACAAATATTTGGAAAAGATCAATTGGAGGGAAAGGATGTCAATAAATAACACATTTCTTCAGGCTCAGGTAGTCCTCTGAACTGAAAATAGTTGGAGGTTGGGAAGCTGCAAAGAGAGAAGTATCTTCTATGCTTATCTTGTTGTTACTTTGCCTTAGACATTGGAGAATCTGTTAGGGCTGATGTTTTCTTTTCTCTGGAGAGTGAATAGGTATCTGCCTAGTTAATCAAGTTATGCTCATCAGGGCTGAATTAGGTGATCCTGTTTTTCTTCATAGGTCCTATTTTTTTGGACCTTTGATTCTTCTTGATCCTTCTCTTCTGCACGCTTTCCAGTGGCTTATATCTTACCTGGTATGTGATGTCCATATGGTCATTATATTTCAGCTGAACTCTTAGCAACGCCGAGGAAGGCACAGAGAAGATAGGTACAGCTGAAGTTTGCAGGGTAGTTTATTAGATTTTTGAAGTATACTAAATTCAGTAAAGCATTACTTTCTGAAAGCTTTCTTATTGTTGTGTAGGGTTTATATCTTCAAGTGTCCCCTCTAATAATAGTGCAACATGTCAAAAAACATGTATTTGTACTGTGAGTTACAGCAAACCCAGGCTGCCTGTGTCATTTCTACAGTATGGTCTTAATGGTGTATGTTTTTAATGCTTGTTAGTGCTAGTCTTATAATGGTGTTCAAACCAACCTTTATCATGGGAGTTGCACTGTATTCAGCTTGTTAGTAGACGGCAGAGTGAAAAGATGATGTTGATGCGTTTCGGCAGCATATCCAACCGGTCACCATTCGATGCCAAACATGGGCTCGTGAGTGAGGCTGCAGGTCTTGGGCAGCCTAATGCTGATCAACCCAACATGTGCTTTGATTTCAGGGCTCGGTGGTTTTCACACAGAAAGATCGTGCCTGGGGTGCTCAAGGAGGAAGCAGATTGTGTGACTTGCAAGTGACTCAGCGCTGCTCCGCTGGCGCTGGGGTGGGAGCAGAGCTGCTGTAATCACCCTGCAGAGGATCCGTTTTCATGGCACAGTCTGTTTCCTCGCTCAGTTACTGAATGGCAGATAATAGGACTTAACAGAAGAGAAAAGGGAGAACTGCAAAATTCTTGGCATTTTTGCAAAAATACATATCTGTCCTTTTCAAAGGGAAAAAAACCCTATGTCTTAATTTCAAGTAATCTGATAGCTGTTTAAATTTCACTGACAATCGATCAGATACACCTTGCCATATCGTCATTAACGCTATTTTTTTACTTTTCAAAATTACGAGGCTGGCTTATAAGATATGAAGCCTGGCCTGAAGAGCAGGTTGTGTGATACAACTTGAAAAAAAAATGTCTGTGGAAAATATCCCTAGATCACAGAGCTGTGAAAGAAAATACAAAACTGGGAAACAGTTTGGTCATGGCTCGTATTCTAGTTGGGGCAGAGAGAGGGTCTGTTTGTGTTGCTGAATGGCTGGCTCAGGGCTGCTGTGCTGCTCTTCCCAAGCGAGTCCACGGCGTAGGAAAGCTGGGGCTGTGGCGGCACCGTTAGCTGTTGTCATCCCAGCCTAGTGACTCAGAAAGGTCGTGCGACGAGAGAAATGAGGTCAGCCTCGGAGCTGGCAGCACCAAAGGCTCAAGCGAGAGCGGTACGATGTTCGGACCTGCGTGTTGAAATAATCGTTATATGGTGAGGATAAAGCTTTCTAGTGGAACTTACAGTTCTGCTAAGACAGTATGCTAAAAATAATTGATAGGATTGCTGATGTTTTCTACAGGAGGAAGAAAATTTTTTTTTTGAAGCAGTTTCAACTGAACATAATTGAGTAATAAGCCAGATATCTTTATTCTATAAAGAGGTACTTTTTTTTTTCTTCTTTTTTTTTTTTTCCTTCCTGTGTTCCAGAAAATCAGGTTTTAGAGCCCTTCAAGTCTTGCATACCTACACAAATTTGTTTCTAATCAACCTGCTGTTGAATTAGTAAAAAGAATCTCCTGGGCTTGGCATGCCAGAGAATAGTCAACAATGTTAAATAAGTATACAACATGCCATTTTGCTCTTTCAAGGTGCTACAATACAAAATGGAATTCAGTTTGAGGTAATTTTTTTAAAGATGTGTCTACTTCTTCTGCTGTAACACTTCCTTCTGTGAGCTGCAGTTGCATTTGGAAGTTTCCCACTGTCTGTAAGCATTAAAATCTCTGATGCTAGATAACATTTTCAGTATAATTATTTGGAATTGCATCAATACATAGGCACGCTATAAATCACATTTGAAAAGGCATTCGTTCTGGAATAAAAGCATAAAAGCATAGGAAGCAACACCAGTGTAATTCAGGAAAATAGCATTTGCCTTTGTGTAGCTGAGCCCTTAAGTTAAAGATGTAGTTTCAGCTTAGGATCAATGTACGTGAGCTCTTTGAAACCAGATTGTTCTGAGCGCTGCTGTTGAATCAGCCGCTTCTTTCTCATCTTGTCTGTCGTCATCTTCAGCTGTGTGTGACTCTCTGAGGTTTTCTCACTGTGTCATTTTAGGAGTTATTATTCTGCTTAGTCCCTCTTTCTTGTTCCTTCAACTATCAAGTTATTTTTTTTGGCATGACAGACTTGAAAATGAGTTTAAAAAATGAAATTAAATTATATTTATACCTTTTGGTAAAGACTTGGAGATAAGGATATTTAGGACTCTGTGATCCTCAGTGTGTTATACATACACTTGCTTTTTAAAAAAATCTACTATTTTTTTTTCCAAATATCCTCCAAATCAGTTATTCTAGACTTCTGCCTCCTGCTTTCTGTAGGAATCTGGCTTTCATACCTGGATATTAAATTAGTGACCATTTTAATTGATTCTTATTTAAAAGATAGGTTTTCAAGTATCCTTAAATAGAAGCTTGCCTGTAATCTTGTTGTGATTTTTCAAATGTGTGCATGAAATCTTTATTTAAAAAAATACATATGTACAATACTCCATAGGCATATTAAAACTAGTTTTCCAGTGAATGTCTGATATTGTTTTTGTAACTATTTTTTTTTGCCAAGTTACTATTGTCTTTTTCAGTCCTAAAAATAACAATTTAAAGGAAAAAAAGGACACTGATCTGAAGTGGTGTTAGTGTTATATTTAAAAGGATATGTAAAATTATTTTGTTAACATACCTGTTTTATTTTTAGGAAGATGTTGAGACAGGAGTCCACCTTGATCCTGCTATCAAGGAAGTTCAGTACAATCCCACTTATGATACCATGTTTGCTCCTGAGGTAAGATACTGGACCAGATATGTATTTGGCCTAAAGGGAAGAGATTCCATTAATCTAATGTGAAATTCAAATAAGTTGCATCTTTTTTTTTTGAAAACTTGCTTTATTTATGATTGCAGTTTGGATAAACTGAGAAAAGATAACCTGGAGGTGTGCTGGCAGTACTCGTACGTGCTTGGATTTTAATATTCTGTGTAATTTGGTTCTGAGAAAAGCATCTTGACTTGTTTATCAAAATTAGAGCTAAAATAACTAACAGTCAAGCTTGGAAGGTAGCATAAAAGTATGCAGTAAAACAAATTACCTGCATGAAAATGGCTTGTTACTATTTTCACATTTTTTCCTATGTACTCAGTGTGCTATTTAGATCAAAATGAATGCTTGTAAGATGACTGTAGATACATGGTTTATAGAGTGAGAATTTAAAATTAAAGCCTAAGTACTATCAATAGAACTCTATTCACGTCAATCATATGTAAGAATTTTAGCAAACGATGTCGTTCTAAATGTACGTAGTGCAAGACCATTTACGCTGAAATTGGTCATCCTGGTGCAGTGTGAACCACTTTCTATTTTAATTTAAATGACAGGCTAGCTGGTAGGAATAAAAATAGCTGTTAAAGAATTTAACTTTTCTCAGTATTTGACTTATTTATCTTGTGTTAGATCAGGGGTTAGTGTTTGATAGACAGAGGCTGGTTAGTTCCATAAATGGTTCATGCTCTCTAGGGTGACCCTGTGTCAATATGAATTCTTACATTGATTGGTTCTTAAAGCAGGTTCTTAAACCACATAAACAGGCCTTTCCTAAGCAAACTTACTTTTTTGCAACTTTGGGCAGGTCATTTGAAACCCATAACATGTGTGAGCAAAATACTGGTTTCAGATTTAGGATAAGATGAGCAAACTTACCAGTAGTGTTACAAATGTTTCAATTAGGGATACCTAATGTGGGACAGTCAGGTGTCTGAATTTGAATGACAAGCAGAGTTACTGTGATTAAATTCATTTTTATAGTAATTTCAGCATACTGGCTTTATTTGCACTCACTGTTCAGGTACCCTCAGTCCTTTATCCATGGTAAGGTCAGGAAGAGTTTGGTCACTTGCCCTTTTGCAAGAAGAAAGGCAAGACAGGGTTTCATAACTGCTTTTTCTGCAGTAATGCAGCAAAGTCCCTAACAGCTTTTCCCTTTTCCCAACATTTGTTGGCTGTGTAATTTCCATATTGGCCACAAGATTTTTGTAGGACTTGATTTTTTCCTTCTCCCGCTTACAAGGCATAATACGCTATTGTCTTGTCTTTTGAATATGCTTGTATTGATCTGAACAGGGGTCTTTTGTGTCAAGCAGTTGCTGTTGATTTGTCCTCTCTACCAGTAATTTAGCCTAGAAAGTTCAAACATGAAACCAGCTGTTTGAGGCAATAACACACTTAAGAAATTTATTCAGTAGTTATAAAGAAAAAGAAAGTGAAGGTACTTTGTGTTATCATTTCTTAACACACGCCATTCTTTATCGCTCTCTCTCTTTAATAAAATAATGTGCACATGTATAGATATAAAATTAGTAAATCTGATATACTTTCTTTTAACATTATTTACGTAGTTTGGACCAGAAAACCCATTTAGGACTCAGCAAATGGCTGCGCCTAGAAATATGCTTTCCGGATATGCAGAACCAGCTCACATCAATGATTTCATGTTTGAGCAACAAAGAAGAACATTTGTAACCTACGGTAAGTTCTTAACAGTGAAATTTCCCTCCGTTTTTATTATGCTCAGGTTTGACAAAATAAGGTGTTCTTTAGGGAATAGTTAATGGGACTTCAAGCTCTCTAAGTGACTGTTCAGCAGTGTTGTTAAAATGGGGAAAAGCCTTTGAGAATCCGCACAGCTGTAGTTCATAGTATTTATTTCAGAAGTCTTATTTGGTAATTCTTTCTGAAACTTTAATCAAATATATGAGCTCTTACCAAACGATTTTTAATTAAGGCTTCTATTAGTTGCATCAGTGTAGGAGACAAAAAAAATCAAAATTTTAACTTTAATAAATAACTATGGGTCTATTATACAAATTGATTCTTAGGGTAACTCAGAAAGATGAAAGAAAGTGCCTTTCTGAGTGTCAGGTTCTTCACAGAAGTTGTCTCTTTAGATATGTGGTACTGAATGAATGAATTTAAATACGGAATGAATGGGAATCACAGGAAGTGGGAGTACCTCTGCTGAAAATACTGTATGTGCAAAGTCACTGAACAATGCAGCCTCAGGAGAAGCCTTGTGAGAAGTTTTAAGTGTTTGTTAGAGCTTTTTCTTTCTCTGGCAGTTTGTCTCCGTAGGGGTGGTTATTATGGTTGCTTCTTTTTTTTTTTTTTAATTCAAAATAATTACTTATAAATAGGTGCATTTGAAAAATGAAACATTTGAGTTTGGTGAACAAACAATATGGATTCTCAGAAAAATGGGTTTTCTTATAAGGAAAATGTGGAAAGACCCTGTTTCTAAGAATTTTTGAGGATGTGTTTGAAAGAATGAAATCACCATGTATTGACTGGTTAATAATAACTGGTAACTGGTTATTAACATAACTGGTTAATTTTTCTCATGAGTTTCACTGTAAGTCTTGTCCTCGTGCTCTCAACATCATTTTTGCATGCTCTCTTGCTCACTTACATTCTCATCATTTTGTTATCTTCAAATTCAGTCAGTTGTAAATTCTGATACTGCCTGTGCAAAATTAAATTACCTGTGCACAGTGGACTTTGAGCTTTCTTTTTTTTTTGTCCGTGTTTACGTTGAAAAGTACTCCCACTCCCTCACATTGCCATGCCTCAAAATCACCTCCCCATGGACTTGAATTGCACTGGGGCTGTACACATGCATGAATTCACTTGGTGTGTTCTGCAGTGGAAAAGGTTGGGGCATTAGTACCAACATCTTTATAACTGACATGTGGGAGGCAGCTATTACAATGAAACCTGGATGAAAAAATACCTAAAATCTGAAACCTTAACACCCTTTATTTCTCTTTAGGTTTGATTACAGGTTTTGTTGTAAATATTGCATTTTGGAAAGAGTTCAAGATGGAACTTCAAGATGGTTTTCTATTGCACAGTTTTAGCTAATAGGTGCTTCAGCTGCCAGGACATGGAATATCATTAGCAAAATGTAGATATTGAAAATGGATGTTTAGTTTTATAGCATAACTAACTTATTTCTCTGCAATTTTAATATTGGAACTTGACAGACAATGGAGATCTATGAGCATTTTCAGGATCTGAATAGACGGGTTTGCTTTGTTCAGTGAAACTGTATGTTGAACTGTATGTGGTACACGGTGGCTTTTGTTGTTGTTGTTTGTTTGTTTTGTTTTTCCGTGAGGGCATTAGATTTATATTGGAAAGATGAGTCTTCAGGCAAATAGTGTTTATTTTTGTTTGCAAAGTTTAGTTTGAGGGAAGGTAGAACTACTATCCAAAGCCTACTCAAAATTTCTGTTGCTGTGCCACATCGATGTGCCACAACTACCTTAAATAAGGTATGACAAGAGAGTATGAGAATGTGTTTTCAAGACTGAGAATACTGGTGACTGCTGTTATCGCATTCAGCTTTCTAAAAGTGTTAAGCAGATAATGACCTGGATACAGTGAGAGTGGAGCTATGACAAGGCAGTACTAGCCAGTTTGAACTGCAAAACCAAGCTCTGAGAAGCTGAAATTCATGCTAGATGATGCAGTAGATCAGCATGGTATCTTGGCTTGCTAGAAAGCCTGTTGTGAGCTGTTAAAAACAGTATTCATTTAAGTTGTCAAAAAGTTGTCTGTTAAAAAATTCAATATTCTGTTTTTCATTTTGGAAGGAGGTGATAAATATCTTCCTGGAAAAGACCAGTTACTATAAAAGTAGAGTTGTAATTGCTAGGCATAAATCTAACGCTTCCTTGCTTCCTTTTTTTTTTTTTTTTTTTTTTTTTTGTCCTTGCCAATGGTTAATCAACTTTTAGCATATTGGAAGAACAGAAAGTTAACCTCTTAATTGAAAACTACGGATCTTGAGACCTTTGGCAACACCTAGGCAGTTTAGCCGCATTATGCTGTGGTAGGAGACTCAAATAAATCTGCAACAGCTAATGTTTTGAGAACCGATAACTATAAATGAAGATGAAGTGTGATACAAGAGAGGAAGATTGGTAACAAAGGTTGTGTGTCCAAAATAGCTCAACCACTGCAGAGCCTCTGCACCTTCAAATGGAAATTTGTCTTGTTTCAAAAGAAAGAAAATAGAAAGTTTTACATATCATCTTAAAAATTAATACATTTTCAGCTAGAAATCTATATATTAGTCACAAACACAACCCACCAATTTTTGCGATGCAGAGTCTTTCATCTGTTTCTCTTGCAGTCTGTATTTTCTGTCAGAAGTCTCTCCAGGCGTGTGTGATGCTTGGGGAGCTCAGAACATCCATCCTGGAGCTGACTGAGGCCTAGGCGAGCGGGCAGCGGTGCCCAAGGAGAAACAGAAGAGCAGCACACACAGGGATATGTCAGAGTGGTTTTCCAGCAGCCAGCCTCTTGGCCAGAGGCAATGATTCTATATTTATTAACTTTCACTGAATCTGTTTTATCCTTGACAAATTTTCTAGTTGCTTGTTGAACCCCATATATTTTCTGCAGCTTGCCAGTACCTTGTGTGAAGTACCACCTCTGTTTTAAATTTACTGAACTTGCAGCCTCCTAGTTTCACTTTATATTCCCAAATCTATTGTGTTGGAAGAAACAGCAAGAAATCATTTCTTACTCACCATTTCTGTGCTATTTTTATTTTATAGATCTCAGCCATAGGTTCAGTTCTGTCATCTTTCTTTTCCATCTGTAAAGCTCTTGGTCAATTTTGTTGTTTCTCTGTTGAAACCTTTCCAGGCCTTTGGATGTGCTCATCTGTGCAAGTTCTACTCTCACGTCCTCGGGAGGAAGAGCACCCCTGGACAGTGTTTAGCACGAGTCTCTTTTGCAGCTTGATGAAGAGGGAGGTTAGGAATTAAGTTCCTAGGAATTCATAAGCCTAGATGCGTTTGTCTTTAGCACCTGGAATAACTTGGTATCAGCTAGCTGCTTCCCTTTTCCAGATCTTCTAGTCATGTTGCACAGCATGAGACTAACCATGGATCCACCAAAGAATTTCCTGCTCTATTGAAACCAAACATGGTTTCAATAAACCATGAGGCCCTCTGTGTTATGATGGGCTTGTTTTATGATCTTTTTATAAACTAACCACATGAGGCCCTCTGTGTTATGATGGGCATCTTAAGTTTTTTTGTTTGTTTGTTTTTTTGTTTGTTTGTTTGTTTTTTGTCTTGGAGGCACTCGACATTAAGTGGGTTTCCATCCTCTGTGTGATTCTTGCCTCACAAATATTCTGGATTTTTTTTGTCATTCTAAATTTTCTGTAGAGAAAGCTGTGTGGGCTGTTCTGCTGCAATATATACCTATCCAAGAGCCTACTTTTATTTTTTTTTTTCTGCAATGTTTTCTACTTCATCTGTGCAAATGCTGAGCTGGTTGACCTGCAGGTACCTTGATCTCCTCTGAAGCTTCTCTTAAAAATTGGCACTGCATTTGATACGTTCCATTTCTGTCCTACTGGGGTGATATTAGGCAAGAGTTTATGCACTGCAGTTCAGCTTCAGTTCTCTTGGGTGAATACCATCTGGTCCTGGTGATTTGTTGCCATTCATCTGTCTGTTTAGTGTCCTGACATGTCACTGTGAGACAGATATTTTGTCACGTTACCACTAAAGAAAGGTTCTAGCATGGGAGCCTTCCTGGGCTCCTTGGTAATGAACACATTAAAAAAATATACCATGTTGGTATTTCCTGATCACTCTTCTCATTCCTTGATGATCCTTATATCCTTTTTGCTGCTGAGGTTTCCGACAAAATGTTAATGTGTTAGTCTATGTTATGTGATTTGCTCTTTTTTTATTTATTTTTTGGACTGCTTTATTATAGATTCTACTTTCAGCCTGCCAGAGTTTGATTCTTTGTATTTTCAATACTTGGATGCAGCTTCAGCTCTGGGAAGAATACTTCCTTATTTCTAGTAGTGTCTCTTTACATGCTGTTCAGCTGTGCTCACTTCCTTCTGGGCACTTTAAAAGTCATCTTTTGATAGCTGGCAGGCAGTAATTCCTTTTCTCCAACATAGAATCTGTTTTTCAAATGTCCCTGCTTTCAGAAAAGGCTTTGCCCTTTGCTGCTTAATTTCTACTTTTTAAAAAACCTTCCTAATTTTATGTAGCCTTTCTGTTTTGATATTATGAGGATTGTAGTGAATGTTTTTGTCTGTCTTTGCTTCCTCAAAAATGTTACAGAATCGCAGAATGATTAAGGTTGGAAGGGACCTTTGGGGATCATCCAGTCCACCCCCCTGCGCAAGCAGTGTAAATCAGTCAACAAACATGTTGCTTCGTACTATCTTATAGTCATTGTTAATGTGTGACCTTAACAGAAGTGTCTTAAATCTGGCTTTCGTCAATGCTCAATTATTTCTTTTCTTGTGAATCTCTAACTAAAACATTACTACTATGCTCCTTTCCTTAGCACCTGTATAATCTCCTTTACCAGTCCATGGTTTTTGCTTTCCTTCTGGCTGAGCAGTAGTAACAGAAAACTCATACTTTGCTTAAATTTTGGATTTCAATCCAAAGGATTCTGTAATTCTTGTTAACACTATTAACCTGCTACTCTGATTTTTCTATAAGCTTTCTGTAGCATGGAGCATATTTTTTGCCATTGGTCTCACCATTTACTTCCATATGCTTTCTACTTGCTGACAGTCTGTCTTCTTTCCAATTATGTCAATATTATCTCATAAATATTATGGTTTTTTTTCATTTAAAGCTTGATATTCAAATGTCACTGCGTAGTATTTTTGACTTTTACCATTTTAATGTGCATGTTTGGGTTTTCTGTTTCTCTGACCTCACTTTAAAGGGGCTCTGCTTGTTGTTCTCACTGTTATCTGAGTTTTCAAATTTCTGTGCTATCTTTTGCTTGAGGACATGGCATTCTTAGGAGGGAGTATCATTGCAAATTGCTTATCTTTCTTTAAGTGTTGTCTTTCCCTGGCTGTTTGATTGAGGAGCACTCTTTGAGCCTCCTGTGCACCAGCAGCCTTTTTAGTCTACACTAAACCTACTCGTTTTGCAAAGATGCCCTTTATATTGGAAGCTCAGAGTTGACATGAGCACTGCAGAGGTTTGCAAGACTGTGGTTAAAGATCTGCAGCTCCTTTTTGCAGCAGACAGATTCTTGAGAACAAGCTACCCTTCCAGAATGTATTTTTTACAAATTCAAAAGTACCTTATCCTTAATTAAGTCACTGTGGCACTGTCTGAGATCAGCCAGACTTCAGCATCATTATCAGGAATATTTTGTTGTTGTTGTTGTATTATAGTCCTGGGAGCCTGGCCTAAAAGACCTGGAAACCTGTTTTTTTTTTTTTTTCTCTGCATTTATCCTTCCCTATGTGCACCATCAGCAGGAGCAGCCTCTTCCATTGCAAAAACCCTTCTGAGCTCTGCTCTGAACAAGAGCCGTACGCTCCTTGAAATAATGTGCACAGACTTCCAGTGCAAAGGGGGATTGGGGATTGTTTTTGACATGCTGCATGCAAACTGTTCATGAATATGTTAGAGAAATCGTTTCATATCTATTTCAGCCTTAATACTCAGGCTAGAAGTGGACTACTACGCTGCAGATGGTTCATTCATGCACCATTTAGTATTTTAAAACCTCTCCTTCAGAAGATATTAATGTCTTATTAAATAATAAACAGTTTTCCATCCACGAATCGCAGAGCTCCTTATGAATATTCAGAAACCTGGCTGTAACAAGATATGTTCATCTCTAAAACTGATATTTCAGAGCTTAACATGACACTGTTGAGTTAGAAATTACACTTCTGATTTTTTTTTTTTCCCCCCACCTACTCATGTTACATGTAACAGCTACAGTCACTATTGCTTCTCATGGTTGCAGACATTTCATTTTCAAATTGCTTTGATTCTCCTGAGAGGCCAGCTCAGTCAGCCTCAGTTAGTGCAGCTAAATTGTTACCCAGACCTTGAGCTACCTTGAGTCTCTTTACACTGCGTTGCATGGTTTGGTGTAAACCTGTTTTAATTAGCTGTCGTTCTGAAATGTGCATCAAAGTCCTGATTATTTAACAAACCCTTTTCAGATGCACTGACGCTATGCACGTAGGTGGAATTGTACCTTTCATTGCTAAACTGTAGCATGAAATCTCTGCCTGCTAAATCAAACTGAAGGAGACGTAGGAGTCAGGGCGCATTACGTGGCATCCCAGCTGAGCAGGATAAAAGCAAGCTGTCTTTTGCAGCTGCATTTAGGAGCCTCAGACAGAGAAGAAAAGATTGGCTTTCACATACCACTAGAAAGTAGAAATTGTTCCGAGCCTTCCTATGAGAACGATGCTGGACCAAATTCAACCCAGCTAGAAGAAGTCTCAGCTTCCACGGGAAGCTGTGCTTGGCCCAGGGGTCCTATTCATTGGAATACTGTTCCTCTTGTGCAGGAATCAAGCAAATAGAGTCCTAGAGACTGTGTCAATATAGTTAGAGGACAAATAAACCACTGTATTGATCTTGACATAAATCCAAAGTAATATCTCTGTCGTTAATGGAAACCTTGTAGTTTAGGGAAAAAAAAGAACTCACTGAAATTCTGGTTTAATAAAAGCGGGCAGTCAAATTAGTGAAAGTCTGATTGCAATGTCTGTCTGTTTGGTTATCCTTGAAAATAGATTTAATCTAGAATAAGTTTTGTTGTTTTTCTTTGGTTTATATATGCTTGGAATTTATATTTCTTAATAAGGTATTGTTATGTGTTCTATCCTTACATTCATGGCTGTATGTTTTACTGCAAATGAGTCTTATTTGGATTAATGGTCCAAGCAAAGATTTTGGCTCTCAATCAGAATTGCCGCAGATAGAGTGATCCTTCCTATGGGAATGTTAAACCTTGCTTTGTTTTTGCCATGAATTTTCTGGTAGTTTCAATATATATATTTTTTTTCCCAACATCTAACTATAAATAAAGCAGACTACCTACCAGGACTACCAGGCCTTTTCTGACAAATGGTTGGGAAAATGATGATCTCTGGCTGTTAGGATGTTGGTTCCCACCTTGTCTGCATCTAAGTGCTGTTATGGGGCAGTGGCATCTCGGGTGGGATGGGAAATCTCCCAAAGTTCATGATTCCCTCTGGGAATCAACTCAAATGCAGAAGCTGGATTGTAGGTGGTTGGGTTTGTTTGACTGTGTGTGTGATCACTTGGACTGGTGTCTGGCTCTCTTTGGATCTGTTTTGTTTTGGTATGAAGAAATTCTCACTGGGCCTTGAAGGGTATTTTGTTATTTGAATAATATTTAATAAAAATCGTTATGTCCACCAGGGTGCACTCTTTGCTAAAATAAAGCCATGGTGGTCAGTAGCTGTTCGGTGCACCTGCTGCATGGAAACTGGGTGAAATTATTCAACTTC